TTTCTATCATTCGACTTCTTTTCATTTATTCACTTTACGCTTTCCTCTCTCTCTCTCTCTCTCTCTCTCTCTCTCTATTTCTTTCTTTCTTTTTTATTTCTCTTTCTCTCTATCGCTCTTCACATCCCTCTTTCTTCCTTCCTCTCTCTTTCTCTCTTTCTCTTATATGCTACTTTTACTTCTTTCCACTGTTTTCTATCATTCGGCTTGTCTCCATTTCTTCACTTCAATATTTTCTCTTTCTCTCTTTCCCCCCTCTCTCTCTCTTTTCTCTTTTCTCTTTCTATTTTCTCTCTCTATTTTTTCTTTCTTTTCTTTCTTTATTTTTCTTTTTCTTTCTTTCTTTCTTTCATTCTCATCATATGTGCTGCCTTTACTTCTTTCCACAGTTTTGTATTATTCGACTTCTCTCCATTTCTTCACTTCCTGCTTCTCTCTCTCTCTCTCTCTCTCTCTCTCTTTCGCCCAAGCCACTGTAACCAAAGTATGTTCAACATTTCTGTATAAGACGCAGGCTGGCACTATATGAGTTAAACAAACACAAATCTGTCTAAGTAGGCACCTGTAAAAGGAATAATCTAGCCACCCTAGCAGACATGTGTACTCGGAGAAAAACAGCCATTGACAGCCATTGAATATAGAAATTTTGCGTTAAAATTATAGTTGGTTGTTATTATTTTATGGTATATCAACCTCTACTGGCTATTGAATATAAAAATCTAAATATTTTGTACGAAATACTTTTTGTTTGAGATAATACAGGTTCTAGTTATGTAAGCCTTACTAATTACCTTATAAATGGACGAGGGAAGAGGCGGATTCATGCCTTTCCTAAGTGTATTTGCCCGTAAATGAATATAACGAACCCGACTGGAATTAGAACTCGGTTGTTCGATTAATATTTCCAACCCATTATTTATTACACCACCCACGCATTCAAGCTTACAGAACGTGATATTCCGAAGTGGTCAATCATCTAGGTACTGACTAGACTCGACGTTACTTAAATTCGGTGATAGTACGGGAACCGCTGTTTCAACGTGATATGACCGTAAGCATAAATTTATAGAATGTACAATATTATAATTTATTATAAATAACAAAATAGATTAAAATGGAAAGTGTTAATGACGTTTTAATGGTTGGAGGATATCCGGAGACAAATATATCTCATATTTGATCGTTAAATATACGCACTGATTACGGGGAATATGCTGAAAATTTTTACTGAAAATATAAAGCATTAAAAATCTGCAAGGCAGGTGCAATGTTTATATTCCTGACATACCTTGGGTTGCACACCGACATGTTGTACCGTCTGCAACAATGTGGTAAAATGTTCGTGGAAAATAATAATTCTGTTTTTTTTTTTAAATTTACCTCCCTTCTTGTTATTTGCCCCTTCTTTTCTTTGTCATCTGTTCATTTTTCTTTCTTCTTTTTCACCAGTCGTCGCTATATTCACAGATTTCTATTCATTTCTGTCTGTTCTGTTTCCTTCATTAATTTTCTTTTATTCTACGGTTACTGTGCCTTTATTCATTGCTTTCTATTTCTCCGTATCTCCCCCTCTCTCTCTCTCTCTCTCCCTCTCTCTCTCTCTCTCTCTTATATCCTAACTTTTTTTACTTTACTTTCTTTCTCCCCCGCCTCTCTCTCTCTCTCTCTCTCTCTCTCTCTCTCTCTCATTCTTTCTTTCTCTCGTTCTCTTATATGCTACATTTATTTCTTTCGACTGTTTTCTATCATTCGACTTCTTTTCATTTATTCACTTTACGCTTTCCTCTCTCTCTCTCTCTCTTTCTCTCTCTCTCTTTCTTTCTTTTTTATTTATCTCTCTCTCTCTTTCTCCGTATCGCTCTTCCGACCTCTCTTTCTTCCTTCCTCTCTCTTTCTCTTATATGCTACTTTTACTTCTTTCCACTGTTTTCTATCATTCGGCTTCTCTCCATTTCTTTACTTCAATATTTTCTCTTTCTCTCTTCCCCCCCTCTCTCTCTATTTCTCTTTTCTCTTTCTTTCTCTCTCTCTATTTTTCTCTTTCTATATTTTCTTTCTTTCTTTCTTTCTTTCTCATTTTCATATGTGCTGCCTTTACTTCTTTCCACAGTTTTGTATTATTCGACTTCTCTCCATTTCTTCACTTCCTGCTTTTCTTTCTCTCTCTCTCTCTCTCTCTCTCTCTCTCTCTCTTTGGTCTCTTTCTATTTCTCTTTCTTTATTTATTTTTCTCTCTTTCTCTTATATGCTGCCTTTACTTTCCAGTTTTCTCTCATTCAATTTCTCTTTATTTCTTCACATCAGTCTTTTCTTTTTCTCTCTCATTCTCCCTATCTTTGTCTTTCTTTTTCTCTTTCTTCCTTCGTCTCTCTTTCTCTTTTTCTCTTATATGCTGCCTTTACATCTTTCCACTGTTTTCTATCTTTGCATTTTTTCTTTTCTGCTTCCTTCTCTATTTACCTTCTTTCTTTTCTCTACTTCTCTTATATTTTTTCTCTGATCGCTTTCTGTTTCTACTCTCTCTTCTCTCTATTCTTTCTCTTATTCTCTCTGTTTTCTCTCTCAATTGATTTCAATCTATTGGGTTCTCTCTCTCTCTCTCTCTCTCTCTCTCTCTCTCTCTTTTATATTCTTTTCCTTTCTTTCTACTTCCCTCTTCTTCAATTTTTTCTATCTATTCACATCCCATCCTCATTATAACGTCTTTATTTTTTCTTTCTTTTCTTTGCCTCTTTTCTTTCTTTTCTCCCCTTTAATAGCTTTCTATCTTCCATTTCCTCTTCTTTGTAAGTTCTTTCGTTTCATTCTCTTCGATGGTATATTTTCTCCGCTATTTTTTCGATTTTTTCATTTACTCCTCTCGTTATCGCCATTTTTCTTTTTCTTCTTTCCTCTGTTTTCTCCCCATTTGATTGCTTTCTATCTTTCCACTCCCCTCTCTTTTGTGTATTCTTTGTCTTCTTTTCATATTCTCTCTGTATTAACTCTCTATTTTTAGTTCTATTCAATTCTCACTCTTTCCACTCCCCTCATCCTTTATATTCCTTCCCAAATTCTCTCTATACAATCTCTCTTTTTTCTATCCTTTTCTTTCATTCCACTCCCCTCTCTCTTTATATCCATTCTCTTCTTTCTCATATTGTCTCACTACTATATCCCTTCATTTATTTCCTTTCCTTCGTTTTCAATCTCTTCTTTGCTCTCCCTTCTCCTACATATATTTATTACTGTCAAATTAATTCTCTCACTCACCTGTCTAATTCTCCCTCTTCTACATCTTTCTTCTTCCTTATCTTAATCTTTTTCCTTTCAGTTTACTTTCTGTCATTTAATGTGCCTCTTCCTTTCCGTCTTCATTTGTCTATCGATTTCTTTCCTCTTTGGAGTGCATTCTTTTCTTTTTATCGATGTTCTACTTCCTTCCCTTTTTCGCTTTCGTCTTTTTCCTCCTTCCTATATCCAGCATCAAATACGCAATATATGAATCCAGTCGCTACAGACAATAACACAGCTTTCTATTCGTGGACAAGTAGAAAGAAAATATTTAAAGACCAAAGCCATATTTCGGAAAAACGTCAAGGATTTCGTTTCTTTTCTTCCTTTTTTTTCTTTTTTTGCTTCGTCTCACGTTCATGTACCATGTTTCTTCCGTCTAAGGAAATCTGAGCGTCTTCGAATTAGTGTTACATGTTGGCGACTGCAAGAAACAACAAGCGAAAAGAGGTGACCGAACGAGAATAAAGACAGAGGAGAAAGTCATTTATAAATATTTTCTGAGATTTCAGGATGAGGTATGCTCATTATTCCAGGTATTCTAAGAACGACTTTTTGCATCTTTGTTATGCATTTCAATACGTTTCAGACGATAAGACCTTCACCCTTACACCAAATTCATATTCTCTGATAAGAGACATTCTTGGTAAATCACTTATAAACCTGATACCTACTTGCATGAATGTGAATCAGGAAATTCTACTGTATGATCACCGGTTTCCTTTTTAAATACTCACCAGTAAATCAAGTGCATTGTCAGTGGAAGAGATTATGGGTAAAATTAATATTTCTTTTTGTGAAAGTTTACAGCGTTTTGAACAAAATATTGTAAAACGTGTCTTTAATGTTATGAAGTTAGTCGTTCATCCAATTTATTTTATAACATGAACCAGACAATACATTATTCAAAAAGAAGGCGAAAATTCTTCTTTACTTGTAGACTAGCGCCCGCCTTTACAAGTCTTTAGAATGATCCACAGTAAGTCCTCGAGTTAGGGCAGTCCCAATCTACAACGATTCGTGGTTACGACGCAATCGTCATTAATTTTGTTTCGAGTTGTGCCGTTTGGTTCGAATATACGCCGCTGAATAATACTGTTTCGTATGGCGCTGGAGTGTTTAAGGCGGTGTGGGTTCGATCCTAGTTGTACGTTACTTTGAACTGTTGTGCATTCGCTTTTTTTTTCGTTTGTGTTTTGTTTGTGGAATCTTGTGGCCTTTCATTATGGATCCCAATGATGGCGTAACCCCTTCTGATGGTTTTGCTTCGAGGAAAAAGAAATCTATCAACATCAAAGTGTAATTAGATATTATTAAATAGAAATGTTTTATATCCAAGATTATTACTTTATTATGGCGTTATCGACATAAGTGATTATTATCGGAAAGTCGCTGTACGTTCCGACTTTCAAGGAAAATCGCATTACGACACATCGTAGGAACGTAACTATATTGTAAGTCGAGGATAATCCTATATATTTATTACTATATTCAGTTTTCTTGCGGAATTTGAAAGCGTATTTTCGAGCATATAAATCATATTCCCCTTTTCTGAAATTATTCGCCTTCTTCTTGATACGTGGCTGAAAGTGAGCCTTCAAAAATAATATACGCATAACTTTTCATTTTAACACGACCTCGCCAGGCGATAAATGAAAAATGATAAAACAAAACGAAAGAGAAAAGAGCAATGAAGTAATCGTCCATAGCACTAAGTGATGTTCACTTTTTGAGAGTTGAACTTTTCAGTTTTAACTCTCATATTTTTCCAACAGACACTCGGGTTTTTCTGTAGCTGTCGAAACCACTGAACGGAGGACGGCATTCATCGATTAAAAAGTTTGACATAGTAATAACATCATATGTTATTAAGTATGTGATTCGAAATAGTGTTTGGCTACCACCGTCGTTGTTCAGTAGTGGGTCGAGTGGCTTGCATCAATACACTAGACTCCATGGCTGCCTTCAGGTCAATACATTAAAGCCGCAATATCTTTGTCTTATTGAAAAATCAAATCAGTCATCTTTTCATACAAAGAAGCTGTTTTTAATATCAAATAGCACAGTATGGTCTGTATTGAATATTTTTATTTTCCCCACTAGGAAAATGTTGCCGACTATTTGTCGGTGACGGAGAGGTAGATCTGAGTGAGAGTGCCTTCCCAATTGTAACAGCTGTAATATCTTGTTATTAGGAGTCGAAAATTCCTATTGAAACTTCTTGGAGGGAGAGAAAAAAAATTACTGAAAAACCCCTGCATTCTCTCTAATTACTGATTCAACAATGTACGGGGCAATGAAAAGTCGCCACTATATCCTACTTCTTTTTATCAAACTTTGGAAACCTATCAAATATATTGTATTAGGGATATAAACTATATAACTGACTACCTAATGCTTATTCTCTTTTATTTTACATTTATAATGTTTCAAATTCTAGCTTTATGTATTGTGATGCAAATTCCATTCTCATATATTTATGAAGTATTATAAAAGTGTTCTCTTATGTTAAAGGACATATTTTGAGCAGTACTTGTAGTTTTCAACACTTTCTCGCTTCCGGAATATTTAATTTCTTTTTATAATTTCTTTCTGGATACAGACTAAAGATCAGCAAGATAAAATTTTCAGCTTTCCTTTATCACAATAGCATCGGTTCGTTCAGTATTTCAGATATACGTCTTTTGTATAGTTCAATGGAGCCTGCCCGTCATTTTTGCAATTTACTTCGTTCTGATACAATATGAAAGTTGTTACGGTATTAAACACCTTTTTGAACAAATATGCTTTACAACCCTAACTTTCAAATATATCTTTTAACCCTCAGATATGCGTTTAAACCCGTTTTACTAAACCACAAATGGGTCTATTAACCATCAAATATGATTTAGAATCCAATTTACTAACCATCAAATGTGTTTATTAACCTTCACATATTCATTACAGTCCAGATTAACTTCCCATAAATAAGTCTATTAACCCTTAAATATGTCTTACAATACAATTTACTAACCCTCAAATATGTCATTCAAGGCATTTTACTAATCCATGAATATATTTATTAAACGTAAAATATAACTTAGAAACCATTTTAATGCTTTAAACACGCAGCCCGACTATTTGAGATTTCAAAATTCAGCGTATTTGTTTAAATTTTTGTGTACCAGGAACTGATTTTTTTATGTAGTCTGCGCAGACAGATATTGCTAACATTCAACTTGCAGTTCTAAATAAATCTTTAGAAATTCCAAAATGGGAAAAAAAAAGCATTTATTTTTGAATGAATATTGAAGAAATATAAATTTTCTAATGAGAGTTCAACTTGCAGGCGATTCTAAATGCAGTGTTATCTGGCATCACGGAAGTATCCTCTCTCGGGAGCTTATTCCACAAAGTAACAGTTCTGGGGAAGAAGCTGCGTGAGTCCAATTTATTCCTTACCAAAAGAATGATTGATTTATTTTACTGGGTATCAACCCTTTGCAGGTTATTTAAAGCCAGAAATTATTTTTACATTGTAAGAATATTTTTTGAGATAGTAATTATTTCGGGATGATATTTTTACTAATTAACCCTGTTGTAACCTAGGAAGGGTTACTGAATGAGGAATAATCAAAAGAGAGGTTAGAAATGAAATGGTGATCAACAAGGTACAATACTCGCCAGCGGCGTGAAGTAGGTAAACAACTGGTAGTTGTTGACTACTTAGACAGCATATTACGATATTTACCTGCACCCCACCACGAGGTAGGATACGGCAAAAGGCCAAATTTAATGTGGAGAAATCCGAACCTGTGCAATCAGGTAAAAATTGCCCGTAGACGCCGCATACGCTAGATCGGTTATCTGTCTACCTTCCCGGACGAGACTCTGTCCTTCGGCATAGCCTCAGCTGAGTTCTTCTCTGACCGAAGGCAGAGAGTTCGACACAGAAAGAGCTTCCCACGCTGACAGCTCAAGGATATTATCCCTACATACAATAGTGTCCAACGTATTTATGAAGGTTGGGGCATACCCATTGGTGTCCATAAGAACGGAATATAACAAACCCATAGCTGAGGGGAAAAGAGGTGGATTCTTACCTTTCCCAAGGGTATTTGCGCTTAATTAAATGTGACAAACACTGCTGAAATTAGAACACGTCTTTCCGATTAACAATTCCGAGCCATTATTTATTACACCACCCGCACACCCAAGCTTACAAAAAGAACGGGGGTGGGGAATGGA